TGCAATAATAATGTGTGCATGGTTAGGAAATAAACTGCTTTTATGCTAGGTTATATATATATATATATATATATTATATATATTATATAAATATATTTGTATACTGTCACCTTCTATAAGGAAGAGTCTAAATGTATGTATACATGTAGGTGCAATATACCACTTGTATAATATATGCTCTTTGTCAGTGGCTGTTGTACAAGCTATATAGTAATAAGTCTTAAGTCTTAATCTTTCACCTATATAGCTCAGCTGCAGACAGTGCAGGTAGAGTGTGTTTCCATTTCTCATTCTCAGTTGATATGTATATGCTTGCTTGTCTGGCATATTGAGGAATTAGTATATATATATATATATATATATATATATATATATATATATATATATATATATATATATATATATATGCATTTTATAGATGGCAGGATATGGGAATGCAACACCTGTTCTACGTAAAACTGTTGTAGATTATTTGAACAAATACAGCAGAAAAAATGGTTATATATGGAAAGTGAATCTAGATTGATGAGTGAAAACATACATAGCGATTTATTTTTAAATAAAGCACTATTCAGTCCTTTACATTGCTGAGTAGCATTGTTGCTTTGGTTTAGTGTGACTGAAGTGTCAGTCGCTGTCGGACCTGGATTTAAGGGCTTATTCCCAATGATACTATTGTTCTATGTAGATCAGTCCAACTCCGCAGGGATTTTCGTTAAAAGCAGTCAGATAAACATGCCTCCTGGTGTCAAGTAGAATAAAAAAAAAAAAGCTGTTGATTTTATACTAGTACATTGTTCATCTGTTAGCACCTGGGGTCCCCATCTGACTGTGGCAGTTTTACTTCTTGAAAATACACTCAGACCTACTTGTAAAGAATGTACAAGAAGAAGAACAAATATGATATATATAATAGAAGATCTAGGTAGAACACCACTTTAACATTGAAGGTTCACTGATAAGCACTAACATTGATGGATGTACGGATAAACTCATGTTGCTTCCTAGCAAATTGCTGTGATAGCTGCTGTTACAGTAGTAATTTAGTGAGAAAATCAGGAAAATGGTATTAATTTTATTTCTCCAAAAGGTTGCCTCTACTTTGATATTGTTGATTCTTTCAACAAAGCACTCTACAATACTTCTACTTCTTACTCAGGTCCAAAAATAGTATTTTTCAGTTGTATGAAATAATGATATTTTATCAACAGATTTTACATGACAGTGTATAACTGACTGGTGCTTTACTTCATTTTGCTATAAACAAAGATACAGTAAAATTTTGGAAACTCGGTTGAAACGATTAAGTGGGTCAGGCCTACATTAATAGTTACGTTTGTTCCATTTATTACCAAAGTCAAGAAGCTGCATAAAGTCTTTCATCTTTCAGGCATTTTGTTGGCGAGGTTTTGAAGTGTGATATTTGCTGAAAATGTTTGCCCACGCCTATGAACTGTTTATTGTAGTCAATATCGTAGGCGGAGGGGTCTGACTTATTGCAAACAACCAATACAGGTTACGGGATGTCTCTAGAAAGTAATTGTTCATTGCCTCTTGTTAAAAGATGTAAAATGTGATGCCTTGTGGGTAAAAAGAAACCTTTTCTCTCTTCTAAAAACAATTTCTTGTCTGTTTTATATTTGTTACATAAAGGGAACAAAACTTGATCATACATTTTCATATTAATTGTGGAAGTAATATCAGAAATAGATGACTTCATACTTTAGGAAAGCTAGGAATTTCTTTGCAAAGAATTAACAACGAAACGTTTTTGAAATAAAAAGAAAAATCAATATAAAGAAGTGATCACCATATTGTTGGTATGATAACTTAATTTAGTCCTATAAACTTTGATGTCAGTGAGTTTGTCTTTTCTTTAATTATTTTAAGGCTGGATTTATTATTGGTTCCCACTTTTCTCAAATAATAGATAAATAAACAAATAAAGTGAATTGCATAAAAATGATAATCAAAACAAAAGGGTTGGTTTATCGTCATTTCAGCAGAAAGAGGTGTACTAGTGTATGTGTGTTTGTGCACCCATATTTGGAGGGGGGGTTATATTTTGTCCATATAAAGATCTATCAGGGGAAAAAGAATTAGAGAAAATTTTTATCAGATCTTTGGTTTTGCCTCATCCCTAATAACTCACCTATGGGGCACTGCACACAGCAGGTTATCCTTAGTGGAACCTCAAAATTTTACAACTGATACATTTGAGAGTTTATTCACCTAATCATGTCCAATGTATCAAAAAGGAAGCCTCCTGCTACCTTTAAACACTCCCATTTCCACAGCGTAGAAGGCGAAACAATTTATTTAATGTGTCATTCAGAAGCAGACAGTTAATTGGGCTCTTTAATTCCCAAACTACAGGCATTAGTTAGCTGTCAAGGGCAATTTGATGTTTTTAGTGAAGAAATTAAAGTACTTTTTTAAAAGGTATCTCCAGTGTAAATCATTGCAGTCAATTTCTTTACCTCCACCAGTGAAGGAGTTTTGTCTTCATCAGCATTGGTTTGTCTTTTGGTTAGTGTATAAGGTCTCTCAAAGCGTACTTCACAAATTATGTTGAAAATTGTGGGACAAACAATTATTCGGGGCAAATGTTGACTATTTATGAATATAATTTCAACTGAATTTGGCTCTCCTGATATTTCAAAGAGATTTTGTCTCTGTTTTCCCTTTCAGTAATTGCCTTTTTCCATGACAGTGTTCGCTAGTTTCTAAACATGAGTTTACTAATTTTATCATAAACAAAGTTAACAAGTAATAAAAGATCATGGTTGTGCTATCTCTTACTGTGGGAAAGCTTGCGCTGGGCACAGTTTTGTAGAGAAAAAATATATCATCCTGTCTCCTTCCATCTGTGAGGATTTCCCAGTCAGAATAACGAGTTGTACTCCAGGAAAATTGTTGATCTTTAATTCACCTTTCACATTTGCCATGTTAGCTTCCAGGTTCAGCCAGCTACCTGAGTGAGACGCAGACGTTTTGTGTAATATTGTTAAATGCCAAGGGCAGCATTTGGGTTACCATATGTACTGAGCAATTTGAGGCAGCGTTTACTGTAACAGTTTTCTTTGTAAAGTATCGGTTTAAATCCCAGTGTGAAAAACATAGGTTTTCCCTTCTTCACCCTTTCTCTCTATTAGTTTTAAATTTTAATTTGAAAAGGAAAAAAAAGTATACATTTCCCTCCCCTCTCCCTCTTTCCCATAGCCAAATAAAGCCTACTTCAACAGCTCATTGAATTAATTTCTCTTATAAATTATGTACAAGCAGACGGCAGAATTAAAGACCTTGAATTATAGAATTATGGGAAAGAAATCATGTTGTGCATAGATTATGTATGCAGGGGAGCTGGCAGTTTATACTGTTAGTAAGTATTTTGTGACGTGACTGGATTAATTTTAGCCTCCTTTTGTGACTAATTTGGTTCCAAATCAGATAAATTTACCCCAGCTGAGTATAATGCCACGTGGTGCTGGGGTAAAAAAATATGATAACATTTAATTTTAATAATAATAAAATATGACTACGTATACTGCAAATATGGAGGTTAATTATGGACATTTATTGAAACAGTTTTGTAAGCAACAGTTGTTAAAAGAAATAATGGATATCATTAATGTTTGATATAATGTAAAGCATGGCTTTTGTTGAAAAAAAATCATAAAAATCATTGATTTGAATTAATTTGGTAACAGTCAACATTCTCATAAGGCTGCAGGATTTCACACTAAATTTATTCCTAATGGAGATTAATATTGGCAAATTTTACTCATTAGAGTAAAAAACTATAAACTTAGAACTCAAAAACAAGTCCACCTCACAGATTATAATTTTTTCAGTGATTTTGGATAGATACCCTGGTGATTAGGGAAAAAGTTTTGAAAACTCCAACAAAATAAAATTTTGCTACATGCACATACAGGTATAACACTCACTGCATGTTTCGAGTTGTCCGTCTCCTTCAGAGTAATCTCTGGCGGTAACCTTGATCTTTTATCTTAGTTGTGTAAACATTTATTAGTATTTTATCAGGTCAATAAAAGTCTCTGTGCTAAGCGGACTTAGAAATAACTTGCACATGGTGTCATGCAAATAAAATCACCCCCTTTTGTGATAGATCATAAAATGTATAGATTATATAAGAAACCCCCTATATAATACTTGGGTAAACACACCCAAGCATGTGCTTACAACCAAAAGGAGTGGAAGATTGGTCTACAGTGCTATATTGCAGGACCAGGATTCTGTACCAAGGAATTCAGAGAGAAAGAGAGAATACATTAAATAACTACTTTATGAGAGGAAAGTCACATTCTCTAGAATCCTTAATACTGGAAGAGAGCCCACTAAAAATATCATTTTCTCTTCTCAAAGAAAATAATTAAATTTAACTAAGACATCAACCATTTGACTTCTTGTTGTAATTTCAAGAGTTTTGGTCAGTTCATTGTCCACTAATAATTTACCTTGAAAAGTGAAATGTTCAAGTTTATTGAGTAGTTACTGTAGATGTCATAAATGGCTTTTGCTTTACATATTTTGCATCCCTTTATATGGAACAACCAGACATAATGGCGTTACAGTGTAGTTCTGCAGTATCCAATCTTTATAATAAACTGGGGATGTCAGCATCTGTTGACAGATCTCCAGTCATTGCATCTTTACAGTGACATATCAGGATTACGTTGGAATGTCAGACATAGAGATCAAGAATCATTATTTATTTTTTCAGTTAATTTTTTTTCTTTGATGGAGGGTGGAAAATGATTGGCAAGCATGTTCTCTTGATTGATCCTTTGAATTTCTTCATGTTGTCTGTACACTTGCCATCGTTGGTGTCCAGTTATTTTTTCATTTTATGTGCCTTTGAATTTCAGTGTTTTATGCCCTTACACATTTCTTTGCCTGATGTCTGTACATGTACATTTGCCATCATTGCTGTCTGTTTATGTTTGGTTTAATGTTCTTTATTCTTGCCATTTCAGCCATATCTGAAGGAAATCCTGAAAGAGATCTGCGTTTACAACATGAAGGCCCCACACAAAAACATGTGGGAACTGAAACCAGAGTACAGACATTATAAAGAAAGTTCAGGAAGTGGTACAAATACATAGGGGGCAGCAGTGGTGTGCCAACAAAAGAGGTGATGAACACCCAGAAGAGCACTAGCTCGTGGAGTTGTTCAGTGTCAAAAAGTTGAGAAATGTGGGCATTGTACAAAAATTGTGACAGAAGTGTCAAAGAAAGACATTGAAAAAAATAATTAATACAAACTTATGGAGACCTGTGACAAGGAAAGACAGTGAGTAAGAAAGTAGTACAGGTCTGGGGAGTCATTATATGACAAAGAACTGAAAACTGAAAAAAAAATTAATGAATTCGAAGTATGGACTCAGAGCCACTCTTTGACAAGGAAAGACAAGAAAGGAGCACTCCAAGCTTATAGTCGTTCTGTCACTTGTTGCCAGAGGGCAGCATTGGTATCGTACAACAAGAAGAGTACCTTTGTCAGACCAAGGAGTGGAGAAGGGAGAGCGTGGGGCTCATTTTTAATGAAAACATATTATTTAAAGGGATAATAACTCTTCGTTTTGGCCAAAAAATGAATTTTCCTGGAGTAAATAACAATTTTCCCATACTTACCAATGGTTAATGAATCCATTTTTACATTCAAAGTTAGTCCCTGCTTTTTTTCTAAAAAGTTTGGTTTTTTGTTAAAATCTCTTAAGAGATTTTAACAGAGTATAGCCATCAATGGAGGTCATGTGGTCTAAAGGCAAGCTCAGATATCAGAAAAAATAGCTATAACTGCCATTTTTGTGGTAAAACAGAGTATATTATATATCTATGAGTTATTCACAATGATTTTATTGTGAAATATAGATCTCATACGAAGAGTTATTATCCCTTTAAGCTTACATCAATAGTAGAATAATAAATACAAACAGGGTTTACAAATATTGTTAAGTTTATTTGCCTATTTCTTTTGAATTGCCTTCAACTTTCTAGTTCACAGTTCTTTCACATCAGCTCTATTAACCCATGCTACATTACAAATATGTTATCCTACACTTGAGCTTCTTCAGGAATTCGTAAAAACATGATCTAGCAGTTACTGCTATAAAGCTGGCTACAGAAAGCAAATTACTATGACTTGATGTTACTGCATCTTGACTGATATGTAAGCTTCCAAAGGCACACAATGCACTGCCTTTATTTACCAATTTTTTCTCTGGCAATTTCAACCATTTTCCATCAATTAAAAAAGTGCACCATGTCCCAAACCCTTGAAAACTATAATATTTGAACCTGTTTTAGTTTTTATATTGCACTGGATTTAGAAACTGGGGTACTTCACTTGTGAGAGAAAAATTATAAATTTAATTTGAAAATATTAGAACAAAATTATAGATTGTAATTTCCTCAATAGTTTTTGAAAAGATATGCCTTGGTGATTATAAATAATTGTTCCAATTTCCTGGATTTTTTTATGAAAATATCATATGCTCATTGTATGCTTTTACTAGTTAATTCTCACAACTAGGATTTTAATTCTATTTTTCAAAAGTATAGTCTAAATGCAATGGGACAGATGATGCTTTATTCTTCTTCTTACTGTCATATTACCAGTCTTAACATAAATACCCAAGTTTAATCACTTTCTGAAATTCAGTATTAGTAGTGATTCACAATGTTTTTAATAACAAAAATGAAAAAAAAATCAGGCTTCAGATCCACAGAATACTGTCATTGTTTCAACTTAGTTACTAGGCACAATGGTCAAGGGACTTATATATGTGACCCTCTGAGTTAAGGCAACGAAAAAAAAAGTGATTTTTTTCTCAATGTGACCTAATATAGGTGGCGCTAAAACTATAAAGGGCATTATTGGCAACATAAAGGCAATCTTGAACCGATCAGATTCTTAAACTGCATAACTCACAATGAGAAGTTTCCCAAACACAAACCACAGAAATCTGAGCAGAAAGATACATATGATAAATACATATATTCAGAAAGCTGGGAAATCCATCTGCATACATTTTTCTTTGACCAACCATGTAGTTAGAGCGGCGAGCATTGTTGATTTACAGGCTCTTCGCTTCATTATCAAGTATCAGTCTTCTCAAACTGCAAAGCAATGCCTTAAGAGTAATTATCGCAACTCAAAAAGTTGAAGACTCATTTATTTAGAGAATCTCCCATTGTATTATGTCAATCACATGATATATGACATTTGGTCACACCCATAAGGCTAACTTACAGTATGGCTAAAACTTACAAAATGATATGGAAAAGGTTTCACCCTAAAGATAAGTGCGTTCACAGAACAAAACCTAGCTGGCTAATTTTACCTACAAGCAAATGTTGGCACAACAATAATATTCTTGTAAAATGCGTATAAAAGAAATAAAAATGACTAAATGCTTTTGATATTATAAAAAGAAATAAAAATAAAGCATTCGATATTTGCACACAGCCGTTCCTGGCCATATTCAGATCTGGTTTCTTAACCTTAAAGGCATAAGGGGCAATAGATTTGTATAATTTTTTTTTTTTTTTTTTTGTTTGTTTGTTTGATTAAAATTAAAAACCATCACATAATTTATAAATAGCATGTGACTGGCTGAACTGCATTCGTTGAATGAAGAAAAAAATGGGATGCAATCAGGCTTACAATGGCACAATATTACCATTAAAAAATTAGCCAGAAAGCACTATATCTGGACATAAGTCAATCAACAAACTAGATCCTAATCAATCTCAATAGAAAATTTAGCACCAATAATTTGCCCAGTATGCCTTTAAAAAAACTTGAGTCAACACTTTTTCTTTCCCCACAAAAGTCAACACCATATGTATAGATATAGATATAGATATAGATAGATAAAAGAAACTCTTCCTGCACGATAACATGGTCAAGGTCGTGAAGCTTCCTCTTCCCTTCTTCAACAAGTTTCTTTCAAATTTACACCATTGTCGGAGCCATGTCCCAAGTTCATTTCACATCCTTCCCACTTCTGGGTGAATATTTTTTAATCAAAATTTTCAAATGTGTATGATCTCTTTTAAGTAACTCAGGCATGTTAACTTGACCTAAAAATAATCCTGAAAAAAATAAACAAGAAGAAACGTAATTTGGCATCCCAGTATCTATGGTCTATCAATATAAATCTGTATGGGGTTCAAAACAAATGGCTGTTTACAAAAAAAAAATTCTTACACTCAGTAAGGATGCTAGGGAGAAAAGGCACATGCTGCTTACTTAACTTCTGAGGTTCCCCCACCCCTCAATCACTGATGCCTGTAAGTCTCCACCCCTTACCAGCCTCCACCCTCTACCAGTCCCCACCCCCTTCCAGAGTCCCCACCCCATACTGGTCTTCACCCCCTACCAGACCCTAACCCCTGCCAGGCCCCACCACCTGCCAATCCCCAACCCCTGCCAAGCCCTACCCCTTATCGGTTCCCACCCCCTGCCAGGCCCCACCCCCTGCCAGGTCTAAGCAAAATACTGAATCCACTCAATAAAAATTCCTCATAAACTTAAAATAATTTTGCAAACAAATACATATCTTGCTCATTCTAGTATGTTAATAATTAATATCATTATTATTCCTATTATCATCATTATTTTCTGGCATTGTGCTTTTTCCTTACCTATTTAATAACCCACACTTTTCAGATAGTCTTTCATTCTACAACAGGCTACATTTGCTTTCTCGGCAGTTTCCCCCTCTTTAGTTTCACCAATAACAAGACCTGAAAGATGACAAAGACAGAATTTATGTGAAGGCAACCACTAGAAAGACAAAAAAATGTTGGAGAAGAAATTTTACGTGGATGTTTACAGGAAAGACTAAACAAAGTAGGGTCTTCTGGAAGACAGTCAAAATTTTTCAAGTTTACATTGACAGGCATTTTTTTTTTCTTTTTTTTGAAAAACGGTCAAAAATGGAGTATGGATAATTTGGAAGACTGTAAGACAATTACCAGTCTTCCTGATCCGCCCCTGAAGCCTCATTGGAAAACATGTTTAATCTGTTTAGAAATAACATACTTCTTTCAAAATTCTTACACATGAGATGACAAAAATCCTATTTCAATGTGCTATACTTACATTGTTGAGCTTTCTGTATACTGATGAAGATGCCCCCCTTTTTCCCCATTAAAAACTCCCCATCTCCCCGTAGGAAGACATATTTCACACCATTTGCATGGAGGCCATTTGCAAAAAGTGAATCAAAATTCCCACTAGATAATGAATATGAGATGGTCGCTAATTCATCTGGTGAAATCTAAAAAGAAAAATAAGAAAAAAGGTGCTTCTGTGAACAAGAATTATTGATAAACATATTGTGAAATTGTAAAGAAACAACAGAGAGGGAGCGCAGCTTGGGACACATTTAGCCTAGGTTCCATATTACTAGTACATGCATTCCAACATTTATTTGATGCTATTTTGTGACATCAATTACAAGTAAAATTATTTGATATCAAAAAGGCTTTTAAATATGGTACAATGTAGAAAATAAAAAGTGAACAAAAATTAAGCGGGGTGCAATGATAACATTAAGAAGAATCTGTATTTTTGTCTCAGTTTTCATCTTAAGACTTACAAGTATGTACTGTACAGAACTGAATTTATTATTATTATTATTATTATTATTATTATTATTATTATTATTATTATTGTTATTATTATTATGGAGAAAAGGGTATATGTAGCAAAATAAAGGAGGACAGCTGTGCCCACTGTGCCACAGACCCACCCACCCACAAATAATAATAATAATAACATAATAATAATAATAATAATAATAATAACATAATAATAATAACATAATAATAATAATAATAATAACTACAGTACTATATGGCCACCTGAAGAAGTTACTACATACCACACAGAAAGCACTGAGTAATAATATCAACTTTCACCTGTTCAAGGAAGTACTGGTCTCAAACATCAGCCTCAGGCATACCTTTGTCATTAAACGGGGGCAAATATTTCATTTCACTGGGCTAATACTGATTTATCTAGGCCAAAGAAGGTTCTGACATTGTCAGATTTTAATTGGTTAATTAATTTGATTTCACTGATTAAAATTGGTTTAAAAGTTATATAAGACCAATTTTCTAATTTTTTGTGAAAAATGAAGGACTCAGACCATTAATGAATCTCACAAGCCAGAAGAACCATGTACTAGTATCCTCTAATGAGATAATGATTACAATGTCTATTAATTGGAACTACCTGTAGCAATATGCATGTTGGTACACAAAGAACACCTTTTGACAAAGACAAGGACCACATGATCTGGAGGCATTTTTACTCTTAGCCACCATGTTAAACCTAGATAATACAGATAAAAGCCACTGAGATGGATGGCCAAGGGCTAATTTCAAAACATATTCTGGCCAAAATTTAATTGGTTCATTTACAAGGCTTAATTTTTTGTGTACAATACTGTACAGAGCTGAAATTGTGATACAATGAAAAAATCCTACAAACAAACACTAAAATATGTTTTACTAATAGAACACCTTTCCCTGCAAAAAAT